TCGAGTTGGATGCGGCGGCAGCTTGCGGAGATGCTCGCTCGTCTATATAGCCACCGCCGACGACTGCGCAAGTGCTAAGCGCCTGCGATGTTCATACGTGTGCGGCTCCTTTTTTTTTCTTTTTTTTTTCTGCGAAAGACGAGCTCGCATCTAAAAGGACTGTATGTTTGTTTGTATATTTATTTACGATTGTTTCGTTTTCTCGCGCAGGAAAATATTCAGAATCGCTTTTCCACTCGAGCTGACTCTTGCCCTCCGATTGAAAGACGCGCAAGACGAGTAAGTGTATAAAAGTGCTTCCTTTTGCCTATACAGATGTAGACGGTGTACACTGCAAAGAAAAGGCGAAGGAAAAACGATATCTTAATTAAGGTAATCCTCATTCTAGTCGCGACGAGCAAAAGTCCATTTGGCGAAACGATGCTAATTCCCATTTAACTTTCAATCTGCGCGATATTTACATTTCGTCACCCTCGCCCCTTTCCCCCCGCCTTGCAGAAGCAACAGCAGCAGTAGAAGCCTCGAGTCGTGCTGATCTTTATTTGCATGATATCGTAACGATAAGAGAAAATGTATAAGTGAGTTTCTCGCTTTATTTAACGATCTCATTGACGAATTTAACGATATCCGTCTGTTGCTTTTTAATTTAGAACGAGTTAAGTTCAAATACGTCGATTTCAGCGCTAGTTTTAAAATCTCTCTCTCTCGTTTGCGGAATACTCTTTTTTTTTTGTGTCGTCGTCGTGGAGGCGTTGCCGCAACGGTGATCTCTCTCGCTCTCTCACTCGCTCGCTGCTGCTACGGAGTTTTTTTCACACCAGCGGCATTGGTGGTGTGAAACTTACTTATCCTCGGGGCTAAAAGACACATCCGCGACGACGACGACGCCACCGCCGCCGAGAGATCGCGGCGCACAATTTTTAGCCCGAACGCGAGAGAGCGAGAGCAAGGAAAACAGAGAAAGAGAGAGAGAGAGAAAAAGCGACGTGTTATATAAGGGTGCAAACGAGACTCTGCTGTGAGCAGAGAGCAGAGAGCCAAGAGAGAGAGAAAAAAAAGGAATAGTAGTTTGAGATGAGATGCGAGTAGCGAAAAGTGCTGCAAACGCCTAAAAGCAGTTGAGAGAGAGAGAGAGAGAGAAAAGCCTCGCTCGCTCTCTTTTCGCGCGCGATATATCCGCTTTCACCGAGCTCTATCTTCCTTCTTCTTCTTATTCTCCTCCTCCTCCTCTTTTTTTTTCATTTTGAGGGTGAAAGATGTCTCAAGCGCCCAAAGGGGAAACGTGTCTGCAATCAGGGTTAGACGTTGGTGTACGAGAAAAAAAAAGAAGAAGAACGAGAAGGAGAGAGAGAGAAAAGTAGCCGGAGCTTTAACACGCGCGTGAAAAAGTTAATGCCATGGACGAGAGCTACAAAGTAGGATATATACAGTATACACATGCGTTGCGGGTGCAGGCGACATATGGTTGATCAATTTCACTCGTTAACTTCGCTATACGATTCGCGCTTGTTTTCGATCTAGCATATCTCGTCATAATTAAAACCGTATTAATAAACGGCGAGATACGAATAAAAATAAAAGAGATAACGACAACTAGAATAACGCGAAATATGCACGCGGTTAGTTGGTGTTAGCTACTGCACGGGCATTAACGAAGTGTGAATATAAAAGCTCTGCTATACTACCGTACCGCAAAGCTCGCGGAGAGAGGAAAAAAAGTCATAATAACGATAAAAATAAATAAAAGGTGGCAAAAAAAACAGCAACAAAAATTGCATAAAAGTTCGCGCGTGCTTTGTTTGCGGCTCTCTCTCGCGTTTACATCGACGAATGTTTTATCTGCCTCACCGTACGGTATAGCAGCTCACGCGTTTATATTCAGGCATTGTTGCACTCCACACGGCGGCGGTGACACAAAAATTTATTGCTAATTATTCGCTCGTTGGTTTTTTTTCTTCTTTTTTTTTTGCTACCGCGAAGTGTGAATTGTGTCGGCAAACGAACGTATGTTTTTCTTTCTTTTTTTATTTTTTTTATTTTTTCGCGCGTGGACCAAAAAATTATACCGCTGCCGTGCACTCGGTTATTATATCGTGTGCGCACTGTATCTCTCTCTATCTCGCTCGACTGCTACTGCTGCTATTACAACACGACGCTTGACTCAATAATAACGCGATAAGCTCTAACCCCATCAGAGCAAATACAATATCGCGTCGAGTGGAGACGCGTATGTATACATAATCTCGACGGCAGTTATTATTGCCTCGAGAGAGAGAGGGAGGCAGAAGCACGATCATAACACTCCCTTTTCGGGATGTGCGACAGTCAGTTATATACGTTGGAAATTGGCCACGACGACGACGATAAAATGCCCGAGGAGCGATTCCGTCTCCTGCTGCGTCGGTACTATAGTTGTAGTATAGCAGATAGTTACGGTGTATATATAGAGATCAGCAGCGGCAGCCCACAGGCTCCAATGATGTAACCGATACGTATCGGTGTTATGTATAGTGTCTGTATATATGTACACCCGACGACGACACCTTTTGTGTAATTCGATCCGATCTCTCGCTCGATGACTGACGTAAGATTTACACTTCGAGGCTATAAAGGATGATCAACCGTATATATATAGGTTCTGTGATTGCCTTTCCTCGATTTAATCACTGCTAGATCAGAGAAGATTATATGGCGTTTTGTGGGTTGAATAGAGGAAAAAAAAATTAATGACGAATACGATACCTGCCCTATAGTAACGATAATAATAATCACAGCCATTGTGTAGAGCCACACGCGCTGCTGCTGCTGTTCATTGGCAGCCACCATCCCCCGGCGTATTATCCACTTTAGCCCGCGCAGACTGCGAGCGAGAGAGATTCACTATCATTTTCACCCTCTCGTTTCGCGTCGCGTTTATTTTGCGTTACAGCAGCGGCAGCAGCGCGAGAGAGAAATTCGCGTCCACGCACGCACGCACGAATCAATGGCGCTTATTTTCGAGCTTCGGCACTTTTGTAGCGAGAGATCCATTCAAACGTGCATATACGTATCGATTTTGGGACGAGCTTTCGCCGCGACGCGAAAATCCGCGCGCCGAATAATTGCCGCCGAGCCGATCGATTAGCTATAATGCCTCGGAGCGCGTCAATATTGCGAGACATAATTAAGGATGTACAAACGCGTTAGCGACGATGATACACAACGTGTACAGGGATATATTATTGTATAAATATCTATGTATATTATACGGAGTATTACAATGGCGTCTCATAATTGGCTTAGGCCAGATGTATATAATAGGTGGCGACGTTATCGCTTCGTCCGCGTTAAGCTGGATCGTTGTCGTTTTGTGCGAATCGATGGTTTGAGCTCAGGTAGGAACTTTAGACTATAGAAGTAACCCATTAAGTGCACTTTCAATGATTTAAAAATATCAATTCAATCATTTCCAAAAAATTTAATTCAATTTTAACCATTCTAATTCAACTATTTTAATGCTTAAAGCCTACGCCGCTAGATGGCAAATCCCCCTGTCTATAAAATCTGCAAGAAGTAAAGAGAAAATAAGTGTACAAGTCATAAGTATAAGTCAGTGTATAAGTCAGTAATTTCCATGGTCTTTTCATCAGCAAAAGGAAGTGATTTATAACACAATATTTATATTTAGTATTATTAAAAAAGTGATGTGATTGCTATTTCAGGGCTTCGGCAAAAATTTTTACGCATAATAAAATTTTCACACGGGTCAATTCAACACAGGTCGGTCCCCTTAAAAAATCTATTTATCTTATCATTGGGTACTTAATCATAGAATCATAGATTAAATCTATTGTCTCTGAATCATTATCAATTATTCTAAAAACTCGAAGCAGATTTTGAAAGTGAATATTGTTCTCGACAATTGATGTGCCCTAGTCAAATTCATCTCCGAGTACAAAATATTATCGATAATGTTATCAAAATCAAATTCAAAAATTTAATTTAGTGGGCCTATCGCATTTCAAATGAAAAAAATTAACAATATCTATTGAGAGTATTTATAAGACATTTTTCGTGAATTCCATATTGTATAAAATTGTTATTACACGAAAAAAATGTGAAGCATTGAAAAAAAGAACATTAAAATTTTCGTTAGTATATGTGTTCAGTTCTAATAGTTCTTTTATGTCCAATTAACTTCTTCATTAACCGAAAAGTAGCCATAAAAAGTTGGACATTAATACTAGTCAACTGTTTATTTATCGATTAACGAATTAATTTTTTGTTTCACGAATAAACAGGATATGTAACGTTAGCATTATACAGTTCGCCATCGCAGTCGAGCGTAAATTAAAAAGTATATTATACACAAATTATATCATCTCAGCTCGTTGCGCGTCCCCGCACTGATTTTTTTTCTTCCTACACGCCCCTTTTTTTTACGCGTGATCCGATCCTCTCTGTCTCTCGCTTTTTTTGTCTCTGAGGGTAGAACGAGAGTAAGAGAGACAGGAAAAGCGCTAGGCGTCTCTTATCGACCGTGTGGCTTGCGATATGCTTTTTCTGTTTTCATTCTCTGTGCTCGAGGCCTTTTTATTACATAACTGAAGGATCCCCAGTCTGCCTGTGCGCTTATATGTACGTACGCCAATTCGGTACCCATCGCGTTGTTTAAAACCTTTATTTATTGACTATTTTTTGTCTATACGACAAATATATCCCCTGAAAATCTGGGCCAATAAAGACAGTGTTTTGTTATCTGGTAAAACCTGCCGAAGTAAGATCGTATAATTATCATGACCTCATGAGTTATCTAAAAATCATGTTTCGACTTGTACACTCATGATTACTTTGCCACTTGCAGATTTACAGATAGTTGCCCTCGCTATCTAGTGGTGGAGACTCAAAGTAATATTATCGTGTTTAAAGTATTTGGCAACTAATAAACATTTTTTAAAACAATCAAAGTGTCATTTTCAGCACATTTAAGATGCGTTTATTTTTTTTAACATAATTCTTAACACAAAAATAAACAAAAATATTAAAGTATTGTCAACGTATTTTTAAATATTTTAAATGATCCTTTATCGGCATTAGACCATTACTAATATTGACCATTTTATTCAGGCCATACGTTACTCGTATAAGCTACCTAAATATTCATTATCTTTTATTTTTTATCAATATCTAAAATTCGATATAATTTCAATCAAAAATTTTCGATTAAAATGAGTTTGAAAATGCTGTGAATGTTTAATATTTTTTCATGTTACGATATTTAGAGACATGTACTGTCTATGGACATAAATGAGGAGGGATAAAAGGGAATAACTTTGGAGGAACTTGGGTGGAAGACGACAGGCTTTGGCAGCAGTGTCGATCGTTCATTTTTTTTCTAATACATAGGCGAGTATGAATAATCTTGACTAGTATGTTCGTATGAGCGAATAAACGATTTCAAAGCTTGAGCTCGTCGAATTTCGGTAGCAGAGAGATCGGCTGCAACAATTGCCGAGACTGCAGCACCGTCTTCAGCCAAGCCATGGAATTTTTCGGCGTTCGCTTGCGATTCTCGTCGTTGAAGTCCACCTGCACCAGTCCGAAATGTTCTCTATAAATAAGAAACAAAAAGGACGTTGTCGTTGCGTTTTTTTTTTTCAAGTCATCGCAGTCACGAAGTAAAATAACACTCACGTATAGCCGGAGTTCCACTCGAAGCTGTCCAGAAAGCTCCAGATCGTGAAGGCCCTGACGTCGCACTTGTCGCGCTTCTTCGCGAGCAGCACCTGCTGCATGTACGAGTGCAGATACTTGACGCGCAGATTATCGTCGAGGCCGTTGCCGTCCGACGTGCCGCACTCCATTATGTACACCGGTGGATTGCCGTACTTCTTCCTGATGCTGTTCAGCACGTCCCTTATGCCTTCGGGAACGATCTGCCGGCGGGAGACGAGAGGATATGTTTTAAATTAAAAAAAAAGTGTAAATAAAATATTATTTGAATCATAACAAGCATAAATATCGTGCGAATAGATTAGCGTGACTCTGACGGTCTAGAATATACTAAATCTTACACTGGCAGCGCTATGAAAATGCCAAAAAGTATTCGATGCAAAAAAACAGACTTAACGGCAGTACGACCGAGAATCTACTCTCGAATACTCTCGACTAGAAACTTATACAATTATTTTTACAAGTCCACTTACAGATTTATAGATTTAAAGGTACTCGCCATCTAGTGGCGAAAATTTAAAGTTAGTTGTATTATCGCACTCAAACTGGTTGAAAACTAATCTTTATTTTTGAACCTATCAAATTGTCATTTTCGAGTCATTTGAAATGAGCTCAATATTTGTGACTCAATTGTAACATACAAAAAATGAATTAACGATAAAACTGTACGATACTACTGATAAATGATACTACTTAAATGGTCATCTTTCGGTCATTAGGCCGTTGAAAATTATATCTACCAGCGTGCACAAAAAGCAAAAAAAAATCTCACCTTGAGCCAGGAGCTCTCCGTTCCAGGCCACTTCGGATCGTAGGACTTGAGCAGATCCGCGTCCTGGGTCATCATCTGCACGTCGACGGCGTCCACCCTCAGGCCCGGCGGCAGCTCCTCCACCAGCATCGCCGAGTAATGATTCAGACCGAAGTAGTCGCTCGAGCCCTTGATGATCTCTATCCACTCGGGGCTGAACTCGGGCAGTCTCGAGCTGTTTCTACCCTCCCTCCGGCTCTTCTCCGCTATGGTCTTCTTCATCACCTCGGGATAATCACCCTCGGGGCCGAAGATCGGCTGCGACGTCCAGCCGCACTCGAACTCGAAGGCCCGCTCGGCGAGCTCCGCCTGCTGCGGATACTTGGCGTAGTACTGAAAGCACACGTTGACGATGCCCACACGGCCGCGCTGCCTCGCGCGGAAGTCCCGGTCGTAGATGCGATAGGCCAGCGCGTGACCCTTGAGCTGATTGTGCACGCACTGGTACTCGCCGAGGCCGGGCTGGCGTCGACCGGGCGCGTAGGCGCCCGTGCCGTAGCCGAAGTAGCAGTTGACGTAGGGCTCGTTGATGGTGGTGAAGGTGCGCACCCGCGGGCCGAACTCCTCGTACACGAAGCGCGCGTACTCGGCGAAGACGCGGGCCATCGACTCGTTGAGCCAGCCGCCGAGCTCGTCCTCGAGCACCTGCGGATGGTCCCAGTGGTAGATGGTGACGTAGGGCGTCACGTTGCGCCGCTCGAGCTCGTCCAGGATGCCGTGATAGAAGCGGACGGCGGCTCGATTGACGTTGTCGGGCCGGCCGGTGGGCAGGAGACGAGACCAGCTCAGGGAGAATCTGTAGTGATCGAACTACGTGCGTACGACACACGAGAAAGCGAATGAATTCATTGACGTTATGCGACTCGAGGGGATCGACCTTTGTTAAAAGCTTGAATTCAGCTTTAGTTAAAAGTCGCTATATAAATCGAAATAGTGACAATTTTTTGCGATAAATAAAATAGGCTCATTCTACACCTGATTCACCAAAAAAAAACGTCTACCTAAGCTTTAAAATACCAATTACATTACTTATTTCATAATAATAACTATTATGTTGGAAATCACTTGATGCACGATCTTGAAAGAAGTTTTTCATCAATATTGATCCATCGGATGTAAATCTTTAGTAAAGTACCCTCGCATCTACTTGAGCGGAGCAGAATTTGGAAAAATTGTGTAAAATTTTATATACACGTCAAAACAACAATTTCTAAGAAAATCAATATAATTTTAACACTAAATGTTATATTTGAGCTCTTGGAAAAAAAGCAACTTTTTTCAAATTCAGCTCCACTCAAGTGGATGCGGGTACTTTTCTTCAGTTTTTCACACCCCATAGATCAATGTTAATGAAAAATTTTTTTCAAGGTCGCATGACTAGTGATTTCCAGCACAATAGTTATAATTATGAAACAAGTAATGTAATTGGTATTTTAGAGCCTGGGTAGGAATTTTTTTTGGTCAATCAGGTGTAGAATGAACATATTTTACTATAACAAACAGAAAATTTACACTATTTTTATAGCTATTTTTGAATTTAAGCTTTTAACACAGGTCGGTTCCCTTAATATAGTCATTATATCATTCATAAGTGTCATTCATAAATTCTTACAAAGATACATTGAGTCGAAAAGAGGATATTCAAGAAAATTTTAAATCTAACTTAGTATCAAGCGGGTTTTTGTTTGATGTGATTTTATCGTTGTGTGTTTTTGTGTTGAAGTATCGACGGATACTTTTGATAAGAGCAGCTATTGCACACGCTTATAAAGGTAGACAGACGTAATTCGACTAGATAAGTCTGAGGACTGTTTTGTCGATTGGGTTGTCCAATATGGGGTCTAAGAAGCATATTCTCTAAACTCACGCCATGCTCGCCCAACAGCTCGATGTCCTCCTTGTACTTGTGATAGTGGTCGCAGCCCTTGTCGACGTTCGAGCCGTCGCGTATCCGGTCCGCCCTCGTGTGCGTGAAATTGTCCCAGATGCTCTGGCCCTTGCCGTCGGCCGTCCAGCCGCCCTCGACCTGGTGGGCCGAGGTCGAGGTGCCGATGGAAAAATCGGCGGGTATGCGTCTCACGTCGACGCGGCCCTGACCTTTGCCGATCATCGCCAGCAGCAGCAGAATCAGCGCGACAAACGACGACGACGACGACGAGCTCATATTGTTTTCAAGTGATATTATATTTTAAAGTATATATAAGTATTATAAGTAAACGAGGGTCCGACGAGCTCGCGCGCGGACACCGATCGTGACTACTGCCTAGCGCTCAATGAGAGAGACGAGCGAAAATCGTGTGACTATAACGTACGAAACAAAAGACTTTATTCGTGTGTGTGTGTGTATGTGTATGTATGTGTGAATAGAGAGAGAGAGAGAGCAACAGCAGCGCCGGTGGCCACCGGCTTATTAACCAATTTAAGGTAATCTATTTTCAGCTAATATTCCATTCCGCGAGGGAACGATAGAGAAACGTGAGCGCGACAATGAATCCGTGAGCCGTCATTATATGTTGCGTATACATGCGAAAGATGAGTTTTGCCGCGCTCTTGACCGATGCTTTTGACACTCGCAGTACGCGCGAGGTATTTTTATCGACTTTTCGAGTGCAGAGGAAAAAAAATGAAGAATAAGTAAGCGATACGATCTCTCAAGGTTTTTTCGTTTATACACCGAGATCGGTATGTAGCCACGCAGTTTATTGAGTTCGATCTTTATAATTTATAAACAAACGATACAATCTTAGATGCCAAACAATGCAAATTTATTACATTTCTTTTTTTAAAACATATAATCTATTTCGATGTATCTCATTTCCATTCCCCGAGGCACGCGTATAACGAAGAGTGATCGAGCTTTCGGTTTCGAGCGCGCGTCATACGCGGTATCATAAATATAATTGCTCGGACTCGTGCACGCGTGAAAATTCATACAGTAGCATTAAAGTGCATACTCTTTTTCAGCTATTTTTAAAACGAGAGAATCAGAAACGAACTGCGCGCGGCGACAAATTGCGTCTATTTTCGCGACATCGACACTTATAACATATTGTCCGCGAGAGAGAGAGAGAGAGAGATCTCCGCATAAACGATTCGAGCGCACGTACGATACACATACACACAGACACACGCGCATCATACGGCGGACATGCAAAGTTCGCACTCGTGCATAATACTTTGACGCAATGCATTTGTGTAAAATATTTTGCACTCGGATTGGTGTTACAGACGTGTACTTGAAAAAGGAGAAAAAGAACAACGTAAGTGCGATACATTTTTTTTCTAATTAACATCTCTGGTAGAAATGCCGAACAGTTTTTGGCTGTATAAACTTTTTTTTTAAGAGTTAATTTCAATGGTGATACACCCATTCACTTAGTAGTTTCTATTATTATGTTTTGACTTATATTATTACTTTAACTTTTCCACTTGCAGATTTACAGGTATGAAGGTACTCGCTATCTGCCAGTGAAGACTTGAAGTTGGTTTAAGTACTCAAAGTGGTGGTTGAAACAATTATAGTCATTTTTTACATTTACGCCATCATTCACGTTGAAAATGTTTGCCAGGGCTTTATTACATTACGTATCAACTTCATCCAATCGCGCGTAAAACGTACAAAACATCTCTTCCTCTCTCTCTCTCTCAAAGACGTCTCTGCAGAGGCCTCGACGTTGGTGCCGTCGAATCGACCACTTGGCACTTGGCCTTGTGCACCCAGTCGCAGGTGGCCTTCCTCCCATTGAAGTGCAGGCCCAGCGGGCACAGCTGCAGATGCGGAATGCCGTAGCTGCAGTGAAAGAAGCTCCGGCAGTCGCGCGGATTCGCCAGCAGGACGTTCTCCTCGGGGCTCGTCTGCTCGGGACACTCGACTTGCGGATCGTCTTCCGTCGCGACGGTTGTAGTCGTCGTCGTCGTCGTCGTCGTCGTCGTCGTCGTTGGCCGAGCTGTCGATAATGACGACGACGATCGCGACGACAGCAATTGACAATTGGCCTTTTCCGGACTGGAGCAGGTCAGTGTCGCCGCGTCGAAGGCCTGGCCGGGCCGGCACGACTGCAGCACGTCCTGGCCGTTGGCGAGACACTTGAAGTAGGTCGAGCAGTTGCGAGGATTCGGCAGCAGGACGTTGTTCCTGCCGTTGCCCAGTAATTTGCACGGGCCTTTTTGCGATCGCGCCTCGGTAATGAGGACGATCGCGAAGACGACGATCAAGAGCAGCGACTTTAATTCTGCAATTACAATATATGATTTTGTTAACGAACGAATATCGAGAGGAAATAAAAAAATGATCGAATTATATATACTTTGCATCGTGGATTCGTCTCGCGATGAATTTAAAACTGAATTAAAGTCGAATCGATAACGTATTTCTTTTATATAGTCGCTCTTCTCGTTTATTTTGTCCAAGGAGCTGGGGGGAAAAGAAGCCTAGACACGAAAGATCGGAGATAACGACGAGAAGTGCACGAGACAAAACGTTATTCAACATAATTAGCTCGAGATAGAAATCGACACAAGCCGAGAGACGCCTAGACACATACTCGAGTCCTTGACCAACATCCATAACGCAATTTATTCGAATCGCGCAAACTCTCCTAATATAACAATGAATAAATATATCAATTTTATTTACTTTATATCGTGCGTTATCTTTTGCGATCGTTACGCAAATAGTCGGTCGTAGATATATTTTTCGATACAGCTAGTAGCCTCTTCGCCGATTTATAATTGGCTTCTTTAGCCATAGTAGTACTCGGAGAGGCAGCAGCCGAGAGGAGCTGCTGCTGCTGCTGGTGCTGTGGGGATAATTATTTTATTGAGTGAGAGAATCGGAGCTTGAATGCAGATAGAGAGAGAGAGAGAGAACCTGCGAAGCTTTTGTATAATAAGGTCGAGCAGTATTAACGCTCGAGCGCCGGCTTAGCTTTGGATAGATATATAAAACGTGCGCGGGATATCGAAAAAGGGTTGTAAGACTCTCTCTCTCTCGAGTAGCAGGAGGAGGAATAAGCGATCCTTAAAAGAGGATGATAATTATTTTTCAGCGCGATATGATGCTGCCCGCCTACAAACGAATCATTAAAAAAATGAAGAGGTAACTTTCAGTAAGGTATATATAAAGTAAGTCATTTAACACTCGTTTTTATTTTATTTTTTTTTCTTTTTTGCAAATCGAGTGCACATTATAAGAGCGCGTCGAGAATACGGAATAAGCTATCGGTGTCTTGGATATACGTTCGCGTGTGTGAGTGTGTGTGTCTGAGCAGTAGTCGAGTTTTCTCTCTCTCTCTCTCTTTCACTCGCGTGGCGGCGGCAGCTATTTCGCGAAAGAGGCGGAACATCTATTACCCCTCTTAAAGCCCCGCAGCAGCAGTAGCAGCGGCAGCGGCGGCAAGCGAGAAACGAGTACATAAACGAACTCGGCAAAAGCGACGTCGACGTCGGCGGCGGTGGTATATATCTACGTATACGTGTGGGGTGGAGAGCAGAAAGAGAAGGAGGAGGAGGACGAGGGTGTGCTGCTGCTGCTGGCCCATAGGATACGTGTGTGTGTGTAAGTGTGCGCAGGGAGTCGAGGGCACCGAGAGTAGTCGAGCGGCAAATTGTCCGCCATCTTAGCCACCTTATATATACCTTACACCCTCCCTCTTATATATGGTATACTTTTCTGTCTCTCTCATACACACGCGCGCGTAGATACGCGCGACTCTCAACCCTCGCGCCACTTTCTGGCTTTGCCGTATACGTTAATATAACTGCACACGGCGCTTTTCCTCTTTATCTCCTTTCGAGCTCTCTTAGCCAGTGCATATAGGTATAATAATCTAGACTCTCCTCCTCCTCCCAACCGGAGTGTGTTTATATCGGGAAAAGATCGTACGGCTCGGAGAGTACGAAAAAAAAGAAGATAGAGGGATAATGATATAACCGCTAATCTAACTATACTCGCGAGTAAAATTTGATCATTTCACCACCGACGAATATTATACAGACGTACGAATTAACGTCATAATTTCGCGCGGTGCTCGCAAAAGCTCGCGCAGAGATTAACGCGTATATAACGAGCGTCTTGCTGCTATTTGTACAAGACCATAGCCGCGCGCGCGACAGGCACGAAGGAGAAGATTTAGATTAACTTACTCTCGAGGCTTGATGGGGACTGCAGGGGAGGAGGAGGGGGTCTAAATAAAAGAGAGGCAATTCTTGGCGTCGCGCTGGCACATTTATTAGCCTTAAACTCGGAGAGGAGCTTTCTGTATCCTTCTTTAGCTTCTTGTACTTGGGTTGAGTCGAGCGCCTGGTCGAGCTAGAGGCCGTCTTTTCTGTATATTTTCTCCCCGTCTCTCTATGAATGTTACCGTTTTATTTACTTTCTTTCGAACATCTGCTTCTGTGGGAATTTCAATTATTTCATAAAAGAAAAATTAGAGGAACAATGGGGTCGCTCGAGAAGATCGAAGTTTTTGAAAAGTTTAAATTGCGAAATTGTTTTTACCGCTATCGATATTTTTCATTATTTTCTCTTCTGATTAACAGGCATATTTACTTGATTGTTCAAAATTATTTCCGCAATTATCTCTGTATACACGATCGATTTCATACCCTCGAACGATGCGTAATTCCGGATAATACATTTTTCGAAAATATCCGCTTCGTCGAGCGAGGATAAGTCGTGATCTGCTGTACCGACCGCTGAAACATAAGCTTCCACGCACACAAACACGCCGTACATACACATGACAGAATCGAGTCGTCTGCTATTTGTAAACTCGCTGGCTGCTACCGCAAAATCGCACGCACACACGCAGTCTGCCAAAAAAATGTCCGCCACGGCGATGCTTCGTCGGCTCGTTCTCCAGGGTACGCAAACCCTGGCGGCCGGCACGAGGCCGGCCGCGGCCAGCTGTCAGCTGATGATCAGCCGCGATTACTATAAGCCCAAGTACGTGCCCAAGCCCGGCATAAAAGGCAAGTCTTATCGGCGAATCGTTCACTTCAAGGATGAGTACACGGTCGAGCCATTGGAGGTTACGAATCTCGCTGGTCGAGATCCGGTGACAGGTGAGAGATTTGTTTTGCATTGTATCATTGCACGAGACGCATAACTGATGATAATGCCATTTCTTACAGGTCGAGTTGTAGCCAATGGTATCGGTGGTGGAATCAAACACAAGTACCATTGGATCAACTGGCGTCGAGATGGACCTACAGACCTCAACGAAAAACCAAAGGAAGAAAGAGTATTGGAAGTACTGTTCGATGGTTGTCGTACCAGTCACGTTGCTCTAGTTGGATCTGGTAAAGAACTCTACTACATTCTTGCTACCATCAACATGAAAGAAGGAGATATATTGAGAACTCACAGAGGTGTACCAAGAATACCTATATTTCCCAACGAAGGCGATTGTTATCCTCTGGGAGCACTTCCCGTTGGCACGCTTGTTAATTGCGTTGAAAAGTATCCTGGCCTTGGTGGTTTCCTTATTCATGCTGCTGGCTGTTGCGGCACTATAACTGAGAAACAAGGCGACAGAGTCATTGTTAAAGTACCTAGTAAAAAACCTTTTAGTCTTGATAAACACTGTATGGCAACCGTTGGTCGTTTGTCAAACGAACTCCATGGTGTCACCCCTATTGGCAGTGCCCAAAGGAATCGAGAATTAGGAAACAGACCAAGAAGTGGATTGTGGCAAAGGAAAACTGGCAGGCATGGAAGAAAAATTAAGCCACCACCCAGAGTTAGAGCATTCGATCCATATGAGCCACAGATAGATAACACCATACAGTTGACGTTGAATGGCTTATAAGCAAATCTAAAGATTTGTTGTGAATATTATTAATGTACGTTACAGTTAAGTCTATTTTTACAGTTTTTCTTTGAAAACTTCTCATAGAATTTGTAAAATAAAAACTTTAAGTTTACATTGTTCTGAAAATTGTTTTTAATTGATCATGAAGTTATTCTATTGCAATACTATACAAATCTTTTATAAAATAAAATTGTAATTGCTAGAATCAAGAAAGTTGTTTTTTTAAAGTAATTGAGGTGTTCATATGTTATTATAGTGAAAAGAAAGATTGTTTTCAATTTTACTGGACGTATTTAGATTTATTGTCTTTGAGTTCGATGAATTATCATGTAGAATCTTCTTGAATCACAATAATTTGATGCTCATTATATTTACCATATTGTCTAAGACAAACAATAGCCATTTCATTGCAAGCAGATTCATAAAATAATTTTCTTTGGTAAAACAATATGTGCTTCATTCGAATACTATTGGAAAAAGTATAAATGCATAGATTCAAAAATATACTCATATTTTATGATAAGCACTGGATTATCAATTCAAGATTGATAGTTTGCACACACATTGATTTACAGGCAGTGTCTTGAATGATATGACGTCAATCTCATTAAAATGCTCCTCACACTTTCTCTATATATTTGTGTACAAAGTGAATTAATTATTGTCAACAAAGCAATATTTGGAGTTATCTCAATGTATACCTTAGACTTTTCACTTCACGAGTGTAAACAAAACAAAAAATGCCCATAATGTACTTCTATGCACTGCGTTCAGCGCTAATTGAAATATCATTTTTATTAAAATTGATCTCTTAGGTTTTCTCAACGACACAATTAATAGAACTGTATAGAACAGGATTGAACACTGTTGAATATCTTATTTTTTACAAAACATTGATATAATTCAACATTATATTATATATAATAATATATATATGAGGCGGTCGCCGCTTTCAAAAATAGCTCGCTCTTTATCACATCTCAAGCCTTTTCCTCCAGCACAAGCGTCGCGCTCTCTTCGCGATATCACTCGCGTTTGAAAAAATATATACTTTGCTCATATACTTTTATATAATTTAAAATGTACAACAATTCCAACACGACTCGTGTAATATATTCCTCGAAGCAGTTTACAATCATCAACGCAGTCTCTCGCTCTCTCTATTTTTTAATAAAATTAAAAACCGCAGACTCAGCAACAATTGCACGTGTTCTTGGATTAAAAAGACAAATGAATAAAAATTAAAAAAAAAAATAAACAAACAATAAAAAAAAAAATAACAGGAACTATCTCGTCGATTCGTATCTCTCTCTCTCTCTGTCTCTCTTTACAAGCCCTTATTGTAGTAAACGGATTTGTACGAGGTAAGCTCCTTCTGCACGTCCTCCTCGAGATGGTCGACGTCGACCTTGACCTTCTGGGCGAACAGGGCGCAGCAGAGGGGAGTGGCGAACGTCAGGCAGAGGCCGCACAGGGCGATCTGTATCGGTCCGCCGGCCCACTTGTACTTGGCCAGCAGATTGCGACGCTCCAGGTAGTTCATCAGCACCGGGGCCAATACTGCAAAAAAATAAATAAATAAATCACATGTTCATGATAAAACTTATGACCCCCCCCCCCAAAGTTTTTAAATGCTTATAAAATTTTTGTAAAGTTGAATTTAGCTTTGAGTTTAGAATAAAAACTGGATAAAGGCATACAAAAGTGTTGAAAATATTTTATTAAAGTTTATAAAAGTTTTATATGAAGATAAATGTCAACTTATTTTGAGTTGAACAAAAATTTATAATAGTTAATGATATCGCGTCAAATACGAAAAGATAATAAACTTTTATAGATGGTTATACATTCTCTAAGTCTGACCTTTTATTTAAGTTTAAAAAAGCGTCTAAAAGTTTTTATTAGTTTATAATCGTTATGCACAAATACGATTTCTGTCGGGTTACTAATGAAGTCATAAGATATATTTTTTAAACCCCACATGATCAAGTTATAAATTGAAAAAACACAATTATTGAGGACAATCTTTAGACTTATCCAGTCAATCGAACATTTTAATGAATCAACTGAATAAGTTCAAGTGTTGTGCCCAATAATTGTGTTTTTTTTTTTATTTATAAACTCATCGCAATGAAGTGTTGGAATTAAGGTGCGGGGACACTCACTCATGCTCGGAGAAGCCATCAGGATCCTCGACACCGTCACCGTGGCGATGGCCTCCTTGGCGGCTTTTTTGCTCCTGCCCACGGTCTGTCCCTGCTCGTTCTGCAGCTCGATGCCGTCCCTGAGCTCGGTCAGCCGCATCATGGGAATGTTGACGCAGTTGGCGGCGGCGACGGCGCACAGCGGCACGAGGCGGCCGACCAGCGGCGGCGCCCTCAGGGCCAGCCTGTTGAGGGTCAGGGCCGTCGCCACGGCACCCGTCGTCGCGCCGAAGTAGCTCAGGCCCAGGGTCGACGTCGGTATGGGACTGGAGCCGCTGCGATTCGTGTAGTTCACCACCGCGTTGAAGGACTGATTGAACCACTGCCAGAACACGACCGCCGGTGTCGATCTGCGGGTGAAGGACGAAACAAATCAACGACGACCTTGGGCGCGATTTTATATTACGTATTATTATCGTCTAGCATAGACGCGATAAACAAACGATAATGAATGACTTCGCGATTCGAGAGACCTTTAACCGATGCGCTAATGGGATGACATTTGTTATTATTCACTTGAGGAACTTGGCCTCTCTCGTGATTTCGTGCCAAAAATTTCCTCTACAAGCGATGTTCTAATACCCAGACATTTTCTTTTAAAATAATAGTGAATGATTACATTTTTTACTTTAACAATTGAAAACTTGGATATTATTACCAAAGATGTCGAAATCGACGAAGAAATTTGTAGAAAAAAGTTTAAACGTCGTGATTTTAGAGTAAAAAGTTTTCGGTAATTGGTCTTAAGAAAAATCACTTGGCACCAGTACCTAGTCACCTTTTAAAACGATATTATTAACGAATTCATTAATTTATTGTAAATGACTTTAAAATAGATATAAAACGAATATTACACTTAATGAATAACAACCATAATTAGAAAATTTTCTTTTTTCTTTTTTTTTAAATTGGCGGTATTGGTACAAACACCCTAAAATAGTATAAATTTGATTATATTTACTTATAAAAGGTCATCATGCAGCCGGTGATCATCATGTTCATGGGCACTTGGGCGCTCATGCGGCCGATCACGATCATCTTCTCGCCCGTGTCCGGATGATAGGCGCTGTCGTACAGATACTTGCTGCGCCATAATTGATCCTCGTCGATGCCGAGCTGCGAGAGCGACGACCCCTTCCTGTCAACAACAAAAACATCAGCCGTGTATACGACAAAAATAACGCACTTCCTTTTTTCGCTGCGATTCGATTCGATCGTTGACGCGCGCCGCGCGTGACGGGCGCCGTGTACACGACATATGTATATACACACACTTCTATAATGCGATACAAGTGCGGGGGGATTCGAAATTGAAATCGGCGCACACGCACACGATGCAGATAAGGCATTTGCGTTTTTTTTTGTTATATTTCTCATTAACTTGATAAACAATGACGATTTTTTTTTTTTTTTTTTTTTGCGGAGATCTTAAACGCGTGGAGATAAAATTTTTTTGTAAAACCGCGTGGGTATTCGAGAGAGAGGAAAAAAAAAAGATTCTTATTAATCGTTTGGCGTTCTACATAACACTTCGTAAACAACTTGTATTACAATACGCGGGCAAAATTGTCCAATTCGACGCGCGTGTGTCGTACATTTCCATGATAATAAGTGCTCGTCATTGCGCTGCCTTCGAGAGTCAAAAACTTCGATCAACACGTTCGATTACGTCCGCGGCGAGCTCGTCGCGCTAAATCCGTTCCTCGCATATATTGAACAAAAAATGTATAATAAATTTGACAAATTTTTACCTGACTTTATCGACGATTTCTTTGGCTTTTTCCAGCTCCTCGCTCGACGCCAAGAGATTCAACGGATTGGTGAGCGCCAGAAAGTGATAGGCGCGTCCCGCGTACGTGCTCTGATCCCATCTTGGCTTGTCGATGTCGATGTTCGGCATCTTCTTTCAGGTTGTGTGTGTGTGTCGCTAACTTAATTTAAATTTCGTCGCCTCGTGTATTGTCACCTGAAAAAAAAAACGAATTATGGTATTAAGGTTTCCTTTGTTTTTTTGGTAGACTACATAATACGTGCAATGACGCAACGAGTGGTTCGTTACAATACGCGCGAGGGGGCCCAAAACACAAATATTCCATTAGTGCCTCGATCAGTATGAGAATAATATACTTTCTTTCGACGATGATCGGACGCGCGAGGGACCTTTCATATAAATACATGTTTGTAATGTGTATGTACATTTGTGTCGTGCAGTAGCAGCAACAGCAGCAGCAGCAGCTGATTGACGCGGGCGAACGATCGATAAATAGTTCTGCTAGTGTTGCTGTTGCTGCTGCTGCTGCTGCTGCAGCGCGAACGAGACTGCGTATATAATATGCGTTACGCGACTTTTACTTGGGAGCTGTGATATGCAACCACCTGTTTTTAGGCGATGTATTACTATAGGCTATCCACGGGGTTATATTTTCTAAAAATAATGTCTTATACGAAACGGCCCCGCGCGCACGAGAGGGAACTTCTTTATAAAAACAAACGATACTTTTTGAAAGACGCGTAAAAGAAATTCTTGACTCGCGAGCGAGCATATTATTCACTGCTTCTCAGAGGCACGCAGAAAAATCATGCATTCACTTTGTAAAATTTAAAAAAGTAAACGAGCACCACGATAGCTACGGGTCTGCTTTTATAATACTCCAAAAAAAAAATAAAACAATAACAAAAAAAAAGCCCCGTAATCAGCAGCAGCACAAAAACACAACACAGCAATACAACAACAAAAACAACAACACAGACGTACCCACGAAGCAATGATTATTATTATTATTATTATTATTATTATTATATGGCTCGAGCGCGTGTACGCAGAGAACAGCTGTCGCTTTCAGACTGACAAATTTATGTATATGTTACTGCGGATATATACGCGGTGATTTCGGCGCTTGAGAATATCGAATATATATATGTAGAGCTTCTCTTTCTATCTCACTCACTCACTCTCTCTCTCTTGAGCAGCAGCAACAGCAGTAATAGTAGCCTCTGTCTCTTTCTATTATAATATCGGCGCGCGCCTGCCTGCCTCGCGCGATCCGGCGATCTCATTCCCCTTGAAAACCGCTGCGCGGCGCGGAGTATACACCAACTTTCACTGGGTCAATCGAACTCGCGCTTATATAGCTACGCGCGAGGCGCACAACGTGTTTTGCTTCGGCTACTGCTGCTGCTGCTGCTGCTTATTAACCATATAATATATATCTACGTCCTCTGTTTCGTGCACGATAAAATATAGCGTTGTATTTTTTTTTTCTACCTAATTTTTCAAAAAATGCCGCGCGTAATCCGTGAAAATTATAAGAAAAGAGCCGCAAGAGATAGAGCGCGGCTAGATGCACTTTGCCCCGTGCGCGGACGATTATGTAGCGCATCGCAACGGTTTACATATCAACGTCTCGTATATTTTTGCGGTATAAAACTCTTGCGGACGATCAAGTCTAAAAGTTATAAACGCGCCGAGATTTTTCTTCGTTTCGAGGATTATGCACGTGTTACGGCTGGGAAAAGAAGGACGCCGCGTGACACTTACGTGAATTATATATTTATCCGCACATCTTTTAATTTTTTCAGATTCTTCAAATCTTTTTTATAGCGTGACTCGAGACCTTAATTGATATATATTAACTTTTGTCGATTGATGTTTCGAGCTTTTGCCGCTACACACGTGCACAGTCCACTGAGTAGTTAATGCAGATAAAAATTAAATTTTATTCATTGAAACACTCGATTATACGCTTACAAGAGGTTCACGAATTTCTTCCAAATTTTCAATCGAGCACCTGAGCTTCGATAGAATCTATCGCGTGGCACTGTTATTGTCGTCGTCGTCGTCGTCGCCATCAACGCGAAAGCGCGACACGATCTCTGAGCTTCGTTACTCCTTCGGCACTAGCAGAAGCTCGCTCTCCGTTTTTCATCGATAAACGCACGCCTGCGCGAGCGAGCCCGAGTGCTATATATATACATCGGTGTGCTTGCAGCTTTGGGGGCTTTTTGGAGCGCGCCAACTCGACGACGACGACTCATGCGTATCGCGAGCGAGCAGCGACTGCCGCGACTTCGTATCCCATGTACTAGCATATATATAAACGCGTGACATTGTCGCGCGCGCGCGCGTGTTCGAGTTTCAGATTTACCGAGCAACGGTAAGATTCGCGTATTTTTTTTTTGGCAGAATAAACGAGTCTTGATGTTGAGCCGCGATAAGAGATGTCACACGGTGCGAGATATTTTTAAGCTCGACGATAGACGATAGGAAATTATCCATTGCAATTATTTTTCGATTAAGTTGCATATGTGATACAAATTAGCCATATATTCACAGATCATTTAGAAATCGAGGTCGAAATGTAGCCGAGCGTTCCGATGTAGTTTTCCTCAATCGGCGAGGGGTGTGACATGTTGCTTTTCTTGTTCTTGTCGTTTAAAAAAAAATACCAAAGCTACATGACCTGCTTGAAAGCTGCACAACCTCGATTCCGAGGCACACATTCACGCGCGTATCTTTAACGCATGCACACGCAGGATTCATCCAATAACGTTTATATAAACGCGATATAGGTATCGATGATGATTCGCTCCCGATTATCGATGAATCAGACGATTTATAACGTTGTCGCGTACCACAGGCTTTTATATGTTTATACAAGAAAGCTTTTTATTATTATTGCGATCGTAGGTGTGTGCATGTGCGTTTTATATTGAGCATGAGCTCTTTGCATTTCGAAATATATCGCCCGAAATTCTGCCTTCACTAACGAGTTGATCAATTTTCCTATGCAAAATTAATTCACGTAAATCATCGTATGTAAACATATTTACATAAAAATCAATTAGGAAGGTTATTTCTTCGTGTTGAATTAGAAGCGTCTAATTTCACGTGTGAAAATGACTCGAATTTGAAAAGTTATTAACCAAATTCTTTTCAGGCATTAATTTCATATATAAATCTTAGTTTTTACGAACAATTATGTTAAGAAACGGATTAGATAACAGTAGCAGTGACAAGCTCAAAATACTTATACACATATTATGACTTTGCTACTTTGCAGATTTACATACGAAAATACTCGCCATCTAGTAGTAGAGGTTCAAAGCTGTATTATGATATTCAAAAAATTTAGAATCATCATTCAGGTCAAGACCTATAGAGATCTATCTATCTCTTACACACACAAGCTCCGTAGAATGAGCAGACGAATGGCGTTTTTACTTGTTTGTATTTAGTTGATACGTGTCATAACCTTAAATTTCTCCCAAGACCCCTTAAATTGTTCCCGGTGACGATCTCATTCCGTTCATACTATTTTCTTAAACTATCTTTCGTATTTTTTAGATAATTCTCGTGTATAAATGGTTGATAAATACCAAAGTCGATCAAAATCACATCATTATAGTAAATATAGAGAAAAAGTGGATGATAAAATCAAAGAACATGACAAATATGAAAAAATCAGAGAAATACCTTCAATTCATTTACCTATATTAATCGATCAGAGGCTATCTGCGTTTCAACAAATAAAAGCGACCAATTCAAACCAACAATCCAACACCGAACATTCGGTTGATCGAATGTTTTTCAAGACTTTGGTACCAAAAGTGAAATGTATAAAATCCGCGGATATGCTGAACCAAAGAAAGAAAATGAAAACAATCGTACAACGATATACTTATCCAAAACAAAGGAAAAGAAGATCATCGCCATTGCTTATAAACATATTTTGACTTTGGTACTCGTCGATTAATAATAGATACGAAAGATCGTAATTTTTTTAAACCCGTGCTATGACTTATATAATTTTTTTGACTTTGTCACTTGCAGATTTATAAAAAATAAGCAATTCGCCATCTAGTGGCGGAAGTTGGCTTCAATTACCATTGATTGAACTTGTTTTGTAATACATGAAACAAATTCGAAATCGAATTTGTGCATGATTGTAAACGTACAAAAATGGTTGTAAGCTTTTAAAAAAACTTTTTTAAACTTTGTTAAACTGAAATCAAAGTTTGGATTTTGGAGACTCAATTTCTGCAAGGGTTAAAGTGCTAAAAATTGAATATAGACATAAATCGTTTTAGTTTATTTTAGGTTTGAAAATCATGGGTGTGATTGCATTGAATGAGTTTTTTTTTGTACATTCAATTTAAGGTATTCTTTCAACAGCTCGGCATAATACGCTTCGAACAAGTGTACGTAGCGCAAATTAAAATAGCCTCGCGCGCTCGCGAACACTGCTTATATCGAGTGAATTCGTACATACTCTACTATATGACGCTCGACTAAAGTTTAACCTACATTCCTGTAATATATATATCTCATCGGCAAAAGATCGCCGCGCTTAAAGTACCATATATATCTATAAAATTATTAACTCGATGCTTATACACAGTATGCGATCATAGCGTGGATGCAAGCGCAACGTAATAATCCCGCGCGTTTTATAATCAGGACACGAGGCAAACGCGAGCGCGACTACTCCTCCTTTTTTACATATAAAGCACAAGCGCCGTACACATGTATACATTTTTCATCCAACGAGAGAGAGCGAGAAAGGACGATGAGACAGCCACGGGGTCTTCTTCTTCTTCTTCTTTTACCGCGCGCTACATACGCCCGTAATTCACTCGACGAAGCGCGTATCCCTTTTGCTCGCGTCATTTTTTCGTCATTGTCGTCGCTCTTGCTGTTTCTCAAACGCGATCAACGTACATATACGATGAGTTATTACCCGCGATGATGTCTCGCCTCGGCGGTCACAATGCAGATCCGCGCCTATCATAATGTATATGGGATTTATCGTGTTTCGCCTTCGTGCTTTTTTTGATGTCGTATACGCGAGCCTTTTTGATAAAAGTTATCCGATGTTACAAAGCTGCGTGTTCCTTTTTCTGTCGTTGTATTTTTTTACGATGACTAATGCGCGACACGACTACTGCCGCGCGCGCGTTTGTGTTTTTCGAAGATTATTATCGCACGCCTTGCTCGTGGTTTGACTAATTGATATTCGCGCGTACTCGTTTCGTATGTATACTGTGAAATTCCCACCTCGAGCGAGCGACTGCAAATGCGCACGAAAAAGACAGTTCGGTAAGCGTACATAATATGTAGGTGAGGATCTATGCAGTTATTATGATGAATGACAGCGGCAACGAAATCATCGCGTCGAATTCATTCATAAAACGTCGGCCGCGACGAGAAAATCGATAAACTACAGTTATGCACACACACATACACCGCGCGCGCGTGTCCTTGCACAACTCGCGGCTACACGTTATTACCATCGAACTACATGCGTGAGACTCTCTTTCTCTCGTTCGTGTCAGCCCCCCTGTATACGATGTATGCATTCAATAAATGTACATGTGTGCATCGAAAATGGCACGCGATCTTCAAGAAACCATACGCACACTCGATGCGGAAGCTTTTACCGATCGCTCTCTCTCTCTCTCTCTCTCTCTCTCTCTCTCTTCAACGCGGTACACGCGAGTTCGCCGCTTTGGTATAACGAGGCTCTATCCTCTCTCGACGCTGCACGAAAGAAAGAGAGAAGTCAAGTACGTAATTTGATTGATCGACAACTGCACGTAGTTTTGTGTGAAGCTTCAAATTGAACGACTCTAAAAAAATTCACACGTGTTCTCTTGACTGATTCTACAAATTTTTATTCTTTATCTTTTTTCGTTTATGACGTTATTTTTCTTGATAGAAAATTGCTCAGTCACGTTCAACGTATGTGCATATCAATGTTGAGGACAACTTGGATGTAATAGCGCTGTAACCGGCTCGGCGTAATTGCACGTGATCTGAGGCTTTTCAATTTTTCATGTAATATTGAATGAAATATCATTGATATAAAAAATCATGAAAATCCATGTACGGAATATAAGTGCACTGTAATAAATTAATAAAAGTTAGCATTAGAAATGTACACGACCTGGGCACTGTAACTCAATAGGTACGTACTAAAAATTATGACGAGTGATCAAAAACACAACTCGTCAGAAAACGCAAAAGAGGAAAAAAGTTAACATTCAAAGTATATATAAAAGGCTCACAGATGTGGCTGTATCTCAATGAAAAATAAACATTCTAAAATGTTAAAATTTACCATAAAAAGGAAAACAACCCTTTTTCCAAAATTGAATAAAAAAATGTTCGATTTAAAGGTGCCTATGAGCCCGTAATTTTTAAACAAAAATTTATTAATATTCATATTAAAAAGTGTATTAAATAGTATATTATGATACTTGTGAATTAAGCAGGCCATTATTTCACGGCGCGGTTAGCACCCCAGCGAAGAATGGGCTACTTGAGTCATAAGTATCTTACGTATTTTTATAGCACTGAGCTAAATTCACGTTAAGGCCCCCTTTGGCGAGATATAAGGTGCTCATAATAGCATCGCAGTGTGAGGTTAGCGCACGAGCGTAGCGAGCCTTCGGGGGAGTGCTGATTTTATTGTCAGGCGACTTTAGACAAACTTTACCAATAATTTCATGCTCAACACCAGCTGATGAATTCAACGCGTGTCTGAAGTCATCTACTTTGTGGAAAAATCTAAAAACATTGCGCTTAAAAAAAATATGCGTGTTCAATTACAAAATGATATATCCGCCGAGCTTTTCGCACAACAATTACTAGACATTGGCAATGGAAAAATGGTTACACACACGTTCACGCAACTAATCGCGATGCCAATAACTTTTTGTACTAC